GCTGTATGCCAGAGCATCCTCAGAAATAAAAGGAGTGGACAGTGTAGGTAAGTCCTCGACAGCATGACCGACCAGTTCAAAACCCGCTATGACAAATACATCGAGTATAGTGATAGACATGTGTCCTCAAGGAAAAAAGAAGCAATTACTGGAAGAAGACCAGAAAGTGATAGCGGATCCCAATAACTCACGTTCCAGGTCATAAGATGACATACTGACCTCAAGGGCGATGTCGATCCCGGTAGCTGTCCATAAAAATTGAGTTTCTTGGTCAGCCTTTAAGCAAATAAACCATCTGTAAAAATCCTCTTCGTAAGAAGGAAAACTTCGAAATCGAGAAGACCCGGTGGACCACACATCTGTAATAGAAGAATGTTGCAGAGCCAAAGTCTCACTGTGCTTATACGGAAAATGGAATTGGAGATTCACAGGAATATTGAGATGGTCCATGAAGCTCGGGCCTAGAGAGACAGTTGTATTCATCCTCGACAGCTTTCAATAAATGGAAAGAGCAATTATCAGTGCGCGGATCTTCTTTGAACTTGTCAAAAGCTGCGATGTAGTTGCCGGCGGAATATTCAGACTTTTTGGACGCCATGAGAGATGGTGGATCAAGATCGGAAAAAGGTTCAAGAAGGGATTTTTAGGGTTTGAAGAAGGAGATGCAACAGTGAAACGAAGCTTTTGCGAAAATACAGGATGAAGAAGACGATTTGAAAAGCCGCGAAAATAAAGGTGACATGTCCAAAGAATATTGGATGAAAAATTTGTATTGACTGCTCGAAAGGACGTCAAGGGACAGAAAAACATGATCATCGCCTAGGGATTCGTACATGGATAAGGTACATTTTTAAAAGAAATAAATTCAAATTTATTCTTTTTAAAAAGGAGCATATGTTGGCACTCAAAATTATCACTGGTGAGGGTGGGCCGGTTGCAAGTCACAAAAGACATAAAATACGGCTTACATAGCACGAATCCGGAGAAAGGCCATAAATCAGGCCCAGAGGCATTAGTAAGGTTTGGAGCAATTATTGATAGAGCACATCATAAAAGTGTTGACAAGTCCAAATTCACGAGCTTTGCACGTGACATCGACAAGTCCAAAATCACGAGCTTTGCACGTGACGTCGACAAGTCCACGAGCTTTGCACGTGATGTCGATGAGTCTGAAATCACAGTGACACGTGATAAAGAAATCCATTTCCACGTGTAAAAAAGTAAAGACATGACCATGGGCGTGAAGATCAAGGAAGCTAAATAATGAAATGTGGAGACACGTGGAAGAAAATTAGCTATTACATGACGCCCAATGAGCGTAAGCAACATCGACAAGTCAGGAAGCGGTTCAAGTACGAAACGTAAGGAAGTGGATGATGATTTTCAAGGAGAAGTGGCTGGTCAACAGTTATCAGGCTACTCTATAAATACTTAAGGATTTCCAACGTAGAAACACTCCCCGAACAACACAGCAAAATCTCTTATCTCTCTTTATTTTCAGCACATTAGGAATAGCTGTAGCTTTCAGATTCCACGTCGTTGATTCAATTTCGGCGAGAGTCTTTATCTGGCCCAGCATTGTTGATCAAATTTCAATGTTGTGTCACCAGTTCAGTGTCGTTGATTCAATTCCGACGTTGTGCTTAGAATATAGATATTGATTGGATTCCAGTCATATTCTCTCAAGTCACGTCGTTGATTAGATTCCGGCGTACTTGGAATTGCAATGTTGTGTACTGGTTGTGTCGTTGATTAGATTCCGATATAGCTTGGTCTTGGCATATGCAAGTTATCATCCCATTGTTAATATTGCCAAGTTGGATGTATTATTGAGTTAGGCTATAAGATATAAGTTTGGGCTTAATAAACGCATTTGACATTCTCTGTCCGAGCTTGATTCAAGACCCTGATCTCCTTTAATAAAATCCGAAACGCAGCGTTCGATGAAAGATTTTCGATGGAGTAAAACCGGCGAAACAGTACCATATTCAAAAGCCTTTCGATTTCCCAGAATGGTATTTCGCTGTGCATCCAAATCATTGCCCTTCTATTTGCCATTTTCTTGTCTTGTTTGGTTTTTGTGACACAGTGTGGGATTACTTATACAAGAGGATATTCCATGAAGGATCGGAAGAAAGAGCTTGAAAGTAAGAGGCGTCTGGAACAACGTTGGGTCCTTCAATTGCATTTGCAAGTTGCATTCGTGGGTAGGATCCCATCATGACGTTTGAGCATCTTGCATACTTATTCCACTTTGTCTGATTATCTTAGTTGGCATGCCATCCTAGTGTTGGCGCATGCAACTTAAATTGAGAAAGGTTAAGGGCCATGACTGGAAAAAGGGGCGCATTCTGACGTTCTTGAAGTAGAAGTATTTTGTAGGAAGCGATTGACTGAGCCTGTGCTGGGTCTGTGTTTCCCTATCTCTGGATGAGTTGTTAATGGGGGTGTGCTCAAATCTGCATTTGTTGGTTCTTCAGTTGTAACAAATATGGCTACTTCACTTCACTCTTGATAGTTATGTCTTCTCATTTCCTAAATAAGGATTTTCGCCAGAAAAGATAATTTGTGCATAATATATCCCTAATTCAATTAACAGTCATATGACTATCAGCAACCATTATCAACTGCGCGCTAACCTGGAATTGAATTTGAATTGCTGTTATCGCATGAGATTTCTTTCATGAGATATTCACCAAACACAGGAACAGATTGGGAATGGGCCACCAATCAACTATCGGCTTTGATACCCATTGTTGGGAGCGTGTAGTAGAAGCTTGACACCTTTATCTGATAGATCACCAAGAGGGAGCCTAAGTTCGAGCCCGTCAACAACACACATTCACTCAAAAACTTAAGTCAATAATTTATGGGCCAACTATGATATATTAATTGCTCAACATCACACAAATTCTCCGATGTGGGACTTCTTTAACACAACTCACATGTGTATTTCGACACTAACAATGTCATTATTCTATTTTTCGTACTACTTTTGGGTCTGTTCTCTTTTTTTGTGGTTTTCTAAGATGGTGACCAAGTGGCCTCCGTCTCATTTCTAGGTTCAAGATCCAAGCCTTTACTGCAAGTTTGGTTCGTAAACAATTACTAAATTTCTGATCTATCATTATGAAGCTGTTTTGTCTTTATTTGGTTCAAAAATAGATTAGACGTAGTTATTCTTTCAAAATCAGAAATAGGTTTTCCTTGAGGAGGCTAGGGCATAACTATTTCCATGCGTTCAGGAGTAGGAGGAATAGTTTCACTTATATTGCAAAATTGCATTTTCAACCATCAATTGTATTTAGAATAAGTGAAAATTATTGATTAGGGATTTAAGTAACCCAATTATTTACTGTTATAGTTGATCAATACAACAAGAGATGAACACTTGCGAACTTATCTCGCTGTAAATGAAATATATGAGGTCAAACCTCTAAATCGCACCAATCTCTTGAGCTCCTTAGTTGTCATGCTATTCCAAGGAAAGAGAAAATAGAAATGATTAAGGGATAGGGTGGATGACGTTCTAAGGTACGCGAATGGGCTTCCTCTAGCGCTTGTGGTGTTGGGTTCTTTTTTGCATGGTAGAAGCAAAGAGCAGCAGAAGAGCGCATTAAATAAACTTGCAGAGCATCCAAATGAATCGACCAATAATGTCCTCAAGATAAGCTTTGAGGCCCTAGATGATCAACAGAAGGAAGTTTTTTCTCGATATCAGTTGCTTCTTTGTAGGGAAGGATCAAGATAATGTGAACAAAGTTCTTGATGCACGCGGCTTCGAACCATCATTGATTTGCAAGTACTAGTTGAGTTGAGAGGTCTTTGATAGGTATTCAAAATAGGATGATGCAAATGCATGACTTGCTTCAACTAGTGGCCAAAGATTTTGTCTATCCAGAATGCCCTGAGGAGCCAAGAATGCAGCAGGTTGTGGTCGTATGATGATATTCGTGAAGTACTGGCATTGAATACGGTAATAGCAATATGTCTAACCATTGCGAACGTCTAACATGTTGCAACTATAATGAACCACTGAAATCTATTGAAGACATTATGGTGTATGATGTTTTGATAATCTAGGACTGTCATATCTCTCTTTTACAGGCATCAAATACAATCAAAGCAATCGGACTGTGGGAGTATAATCCAGAAGAAGATTTGTACATTAGACCTGCTTCTTCAGCAAATTTGAAGAGGCTGAGATTGCTCATCCTTCAAAATGCATGATTTCCTGATGTAACCGAGCAATGTCTTGCTCAAGAGTTGAGATGGTTTGAATGGCTTGGATAGCCTTCAACAATCTTGCCGACATTTTGCAATGCAGAGAAGGTCGTGGGACTTCATATGCTGTACAGTCTTGTTCTAGAATTAGGGAGTGAATTCAAGGTATGTCCTCAGAATTGATAAGCCTAATAAAATAAATAAGCCAATGGGAAGCTAACTATTGGATTTTCATTTTTCACATTTTGCAGAATCCTAGAAATTTGAAATATGTTAAGTTTGGTGAAAGAGAGTTTCTCAAGAAGAGTTCCGACCTTTCGATGATTGTAAATGTTGATAGTTTGACCCTACATGGATGCGTTCATTTACTTGAGTTCCATTATGAATCCGTAGGGCATCTGGACAAGTTTGTTGATTTGTATTTTGAATATTGCTTAAGTGTCTAGACTTGTCCTACTACATTGAAGTCAAAATATCTCAAATTCTTGCACTTCAATAGCTGCTCCCGTGGGTTTTGAATCCTGCGCATAACTCATAAGCACATATAGTGACTTGTAAAATAAAAATAAGACAGAACTAAAAAAAAGAAAAGAAAAATAAGCTAGTTGACCCAAAAATATATATATAAGATAGAACGAGACCGAAAAAAAATAGCTACTCCCGTGTCGTGCAGTTCCCGACCATCTCGGCACAAGTGGAATATCTGCTAATACTCAGTTTAAATGACAGCGCAGAACACGGAATTAGAGGATGCCACGTCATCTCAGATGCTAGGGTCAACTCCCACTACAGCTGCGCTCGCCGTGTACGCTACGGTCACATCCATTAACCATTTACTAGTCTCAAAGCCATTAATCACCTCCTTGTTAACCTCCTCTATTCGATGGCTTCTTCTTCTGCTTCTTCTTCTATGCCCAGAATGAGTTTCCGCGTCTTCCTGAGTTTCAGATACGAGGACGTCCGCCACAACTTCATCGGACATCTCTGCAAAGCATTAGACCATGCAGGAATATTCACTTACAACGCCATTGACATTGAAGAATCGGGGATGGGAGAGGACATGTCAATCACTATTATGAAGGCCATCGAGGAATCCCGCGTCGCAATCATTGTTTTCTCTGAGAAGTACACTCTCTCATCGTGGTGTTTGAAAGTGCTGGCAAAAATCATAGAGTGCAAGGAACAGAAAGATCTGATTGTGTTGCCGGTATTTTATAAAGTGAATCCAGGAGATGTGACACGCGATGCATCCAAGTTGGGGAAGAATTTGGAGACAGCGAAGAGATGGAAGGCGGCTCTCTATTACGCCGGTGACCTGTTCGGGTGGCGCGTGAGACGTGGTGCGTCCAAGTTGGGGAAGGATTTGGAGACAGCGAAGAGATGGATGATGGCTCTCCGTGAAGCCAGGGACCTGTTGGGGTGGCGCTTGGGTTATGAGTAAGTAGTAATTAGGCCCCTAACTCTGTCTCTCTCTCTCTCTCACGCCAACACACTCTCATCAGACGCTTAAACAGCACAGAGCACACTTAAGCAGCACGCGAAACAGAGCACCGAGTTCGAGCCGTTCGTTCCCACCAATCCTCCGCTTATTATCGACACGCCGCCGCCTGAGTGCTCCCGTCCCCACGCCGCCCCAGCGGCGTCACCTCAGCCCCTCTCTGCCTCTCCGTGTTAAGCGGCTTTTGGAGATGAATCAAGCGTGGCGATCCCAGATCTGGGCTCTCAAGCCCAGATCGGGGGTCGCTACCCTCGGGCGATGGTCGCCTGAGGCTGGCTACAAAGGTTGAGACTTGACGGCGCGACAACGGCTGGGACAGGAGACGGTGACAGGCAAGCCACGGTGGCGGGGACGTGATGTCGGGGGAACGCGATGACGGCGGAGCAAAGGCGGAGGGGAGAAGAGAGAGGCGGCGAGCTAGCGGCTCGGACCGGCGAGCTCGCGGCTCGCCCGATCCAGGCGAGCCCGGGCTTAGACCAGCGAGCTCGCGGCTCGCCAGATCCAGGCGAGCCCGAGCTCTGCCGAGGCCAGCGAGCTCGAGGCTCGGCCGAGGCCGGCGAGCTCGAGGCTAGCCCCACGCCGGCGAGCTCAAGCTCGCCTGTGGCCGTCTCCGGCCGGTCGCGGCGGAGGAAGGAGGTAAAAGAAAAGGAAAGAAAAGAAAAAGAAAAAAGAAAAAAAAAGAAAATTAAAAAATCCAATTTTTTCAAAATTTGAAAATTAAAAATTCAATTTTTTTGGATCTAAAATATAGTCATAAGATTGAAATCATTTTTCAATGAAATTCAAACATTAGAAAATAATTTTCATCATATATCATCAAACAAAGGAAAATTAAAAGTATTCTAAAAAAATGATTTTTCGAAAAATATCTTCTTTTATTCTTAAATTTTTCGTGAAATAAAGGCACGTAAGTTTTTTTTGGACTCAATCAAAGCCCTTGAATGTACTTCAACTGTCTTTTCAACCGACTGATTCCTTCTTTTGGCAAGTCTTTCACAATATTTATACTCACAATAATTCAATGGATGATACCGAGGTTTTTTTCCTTTTCTTCTGTCATTCGAAAATGAGAAATAAGGACTCGGAATTGAAATTTCCTTATCCTTGGTTTTCTCTCTTTTAGCCTTTTTCGTTTCCTATGAATGGTTAACCAGTTTCTTTGGATTCGCCGTTTCTTTGTTTCTTGGATAATTAGCTACTTGATGTCGGTTGTTTGCCAGGCCTCAGTCGAAGATAATAATAACTACATATGGATTTTGCATTATCTTTACTTTCATTCTTTTTCTTTATTTAGTAGTACTTCGTTTCTCCTGTGCATGCTCTGCTGATTAACATGACATTGTAAAATATGGTGTCATCACGGCCCATGTGGATTGGTAATATGAAATTGTCTCCTCAAATTTGTGCTCACTGTGTGAGTTATTGGATATAATTAGAAACTGGGAAATACTAAAAGTATTTGAGTATTCGAATGTGATTGTAATCTTCATTGTATGGCTTGATCTATAGTGAAATTTTTTACTGCTCTCCCTGTGGACATAACTTACACTGACCGAATCATGTAATTCGGTATTCAATTTATTTCCTTATTTTGTCTATTTTATTGTTTGATCACTTGCTTTCGCAATAGTCATGTCCTTTTGCATGAACATCTTAATAATCTAATCTTCTTAGAGCAAATTGTTATCGCTTGCTTCATTTAATTCAACAGCTTGGGCAGTTTATATCATCCATGTTTCTGTCATTTGTCGTGTCAGATCTTCAGAGGCTACATTAATCAAAGACATTGTCAAGACGATCAGCGAACTAATAAGTTTCGATGTGTACCTAAGCTTTAGGAGTAAGGATGTCTGCGAAAACTTCGTTAAGAGTCTGAATGAGGCCTTGGTCCATAAGGGCATAAATACTTTCATGGACAGTGATAACTTAAGGATGGGCCATGATTTCCCACCGGCGCTGATGGACGCCATGGAACTATCTCGTATGTACATCGTCGTTTTCTCAGAAAACTATGCTGAATCTCCGTGGTGTCTGAAGGAGTTGATGTGGATCTTAGAGAGGAAGAACAGAAGAAAAAAGCTAATGCTACCGATATTTTATAAGGTGGCACCGGGGATGATGAGGGCAAAGAACGAACTGGAAGAACCGGGGACAGTAAGGGCACAGAAAGAACCGGGGAAGGTAAAGAGTTACGGGGAAGCATTGGAAAAACATAAGGTCGAGTATGGGATGCGCAAGGTCAAGAAATGGAGGGAGGCTCTCTCTGAAGCTGCCGATGTGAATGGAAAGCATCTGCCTGATGGGTAAGATTTCAAACTCATTTTACCTTCTCCTATCAGAAATAATTTCTTCTGTCTGGGAGAGGAAGTGTTGAGACTTGAGTAGCTTCATGCCTAAGGAAAGGTCTCAGCAATAGACCGAGTCAACCTACCCTATGACATCGATTTCTGCCTTGCTTTGTCGAGTATAAGTAAAGGGCCACTGTACTGATGTATTGTTCTATTATTATGTCTGACATATGCTTTGAGTGGGAAAGATAACTTGAAATTCAAAAGCTGCACCGTAAAGTCGAGTCGAATGCATCCTTTTAGAAGTTTTCCGCGTTCCATGCATAAAATATGTCAATCTCATTAAACGATCTGTATCCAACAGCACCAATATGTCCTTTGTCGAGCAAAAGTAAGGTTATACGTAAAGTTGTTAATATGAATCGAGGAGCATACATTGAAAATTTGATTTTCATCGCTTTGCTCAATAGAGGCATAGCATTGTTCGTTTCTCAATTTGAAGTGGCCAATGTATATTTTGGTAATTCAATAAATTTTATTGTTACGAAAGCCAATTTTAACATAAAAAGGACCGAACTGAATCAGAAACTTTTGGCTCCGTGAATATGCTCCTCTTACCGGATTATGATGTTCACTTACATGCTAGTTGATGGGTATATTTGATAATTATTCATCTCTCTCGCTCTTTTGTTTCGACAGGAATGAAGATGATTGGATCCCCCGCATTGTTGAAGAGATAGAGAAAATGATTGCAGAGATCAGATGAAAGCTAGAATGAAGATGCTTGCAAAGTCAGTTTTGGTGACACAGAATAGCAATTTCACTACAGAGATTGGTGTGTGTCATTGCTGCTTCAGCCACAGGTCACGAATCTATTGGAAGTTGTCTTTCAGTTTACAAGATTTTAGCTGCTTAAAACTGTTGTTGAGACTTGAGAATTGAAACCGAAATGGTAGGACACTTCGCTGAGAAAACTATGTAAAGTAATATGTCTAATTAATGTTAAAGGAAGTGGGAGGGAATGAAGTTTTATCATGACGTGGCTCAACCATAAAGCTCTATTCTATCTACTTCTCTGTTTTTTCTCCCTCAATAATGGTACAAGGTGAGCAACCTGCTACAAGCACAAAAATTAAAGTCTAAAGAAGCCTCCAGTTATAATACAAAAACTTTGTACCTGTCCAATGCAATCTGCTTAGTAACAACATAGAAATCAACTAATCTTCCCAGTATAGACCTTTTTTTTATCTTCGAGACAATTAGATCAACATTTTCCTAAATATACTAATCATGTTAGATTGAGCAAAACTTAGTGTCTCGGAATTTTAGAGTATGAAGTATTGGCATCATTAATTGGAAACAGAGTGGTGACAGAGGTTTAAGCGACAAACTTCACAGAGCCACTTTGAAGACTAAGGCCATTCGATAGGCATTCACTTAATTTTGGATTAGTGCGCTCTGCATCACAAATCATAAAGAAAGAGAGGGGACAAAATGTTCCTCGACCATGTTAGTAGCATGATGCGAAACCTGCATTTGATAGTGTTTTGAATTTAATTGAAGGAGCAGACATTTGAAAACTTTCTAGTGGAGACGAAAAAATAGAAAAGTAGAAGGCATTGGACCAAATCCCCCTAGTTCGCTTCCTCTAGAATCACTTCCTCAACAAGTCGTGACCAATCCGACTTGTGACCAATCCGACCAGGCATGTTTTCAAGTCAACACTCGTATATTAGTTGGTGCAAGTGGAACCCATGGTCTCGCCATAGTTAAGACCGTCGCATCTTCTTTGTTAAGTTGATCAGCTTTCCTCTACATCTGTTTCAATTGGAATATCTTCTTCCTCGGTGTCCATTGAATTGTCTTTATGAATCTCTTTCCCAAGGAATCCAATTGTTTTTTTTATCGACTGATGGTGTTGAAGCACGACCCTTAGATCATCCTCCTGTTGCTCGCATATTAGATGGAATAAACACTTGTTTAAGCTTCCTTTTGATGCTTTGAGGCAAACTTGGAAATGGCTTCAACCCTTTTGCAGAAACTTCTCTACTTCATACAGCCTAATGCACGGGAGATACTCAAGCCACACATGATTGGGTTTCAATGAAATCAAGCTACTCACATGCCAAATCACCCCTTGATCATTAATAAATGGATGGACATCACATGAAGCATCGGCCACTTTTCCTTCCTCCAGGCCGAGAACAACAAAGAGTGATAGTCCAAAGAAGTAGCCTCTTTACAGTGGAGAGAAACCATTCTGGCCTCTCTTCCAATTAGAATAATGTTGACTCATCTTCGGGAGTTCCTGTCATATAGATGGTACGCATATCAAGCATTCAAAGTTAGAGAGAAAGAGAGAGTCTGACCTCAAGTGATGATGACTCATCAGCCATGTCGAGCCCTCCACGGAATAATTCACAACATGGAGACAAGTCAACTTCAAGGCAGTTGGAGGAGAGACTCGACAAATCTGGGAGTTTTCGCAGAGATTTGTGAATATTTGCTTTTAGAGTACACATATTTCATGAAAGCTGAGGAATCTCTTGTATTTTTTTGCAATTATTAACATACAAGCATTTCAAATCATTGTATTTGTTGATGCATATCGGCGGACGAGTAAACTTGCTTTTTTTGAAAGATTTAGGCATGCCAATTTGGAAAAATGGAAGAACTCTCAAGGAACTGTACTTTTCATATATTGCAGTCATTAAGTTCTAGCCGTTTTAGATTGGGGAAACATAGATCTCCATCAGGATCAGTTGAACCCTTCAAGTTCTTTGAAAACAAGACAAAATTCGAGCAGTTTTGAAGACTCATATACTTAAGATTGTGCAATTTAAAAATGCTCGATAGAAGCATTGCAAGGCTTTTGCACTATCCCAAATGTACTTTCTTCCCGGAGACAGTATTTTCAATTAATGCAGTTTGTTCTTTAAGAGATCTCAATTATTTTTTCTTCCTCAATGTCCTCGATCACTTTCTTCATATTGTGAATTTTATCGACTATTTCTTTCCATGATTTTAATGATTTAACCTACTTTTACTAAGGTAATTTTGTCTATTATGTAATAATACAATATCATGATTCAGACTAGCCACATAACCTCACATATAGCTTTTATAGTAGATTTGATTATACTTTTGTTTGTTTGACATCCCAGATTTTTCTAACAAAGTAAGCATGTAAAAGCATTTCAATTTTTTTTAATTATTTGAAAATTATGTAAATTTTTCCTACAAAAAAAACATTATATAAATTTTTTGAAATTTGTAGTATTAAATTTTATTGGGTTAATACCACGAAAAATCCTAAACTGGTATACTTGTGACAAATTTACTCCAAACTATTCTTTTGACCACAAAAAACCTCAAATTGGTACACTTGTGACAATTTTACCATAAACTATTTTTTTGACCACCAAAAATCCCAAACTGGTACATCTGTAACAATTTTACCCCCAACTAATCTTTTACTTTTTCGAATTTTTTTTATTTTTTATTTTATTTTCTTTTTCCTTTCCTTTTCTTTTTTTCTTCTTCATCTTATTTATCGTCAACCTATGACCGATCGCTTGAGGTCGACCCTGCCGGCAGTTGGCGAGGCTAACCTCGCCGGCAACTGGCGAGGTCGACCCTGCCCACCCCTAGCGAGGACGACCGCTCGCCAGCAACTGGCGAGGTCGAACCTCTCTAGGGGTGGGCAAGGCCGACCTCGCCGGCAACCTCGCTGTCACTGGCGAGGCTTAACCTCGCCGTCACTGGCGAGGCTTAACCTCGCCGTCACTGGCGAGGCTCAACCTCGCCGCTTCTGGGAGAGGCCGACCTCGCTAGTTGCTAGTGGGGCCGAGCCTTGCCAGCGACGGCGAGGATGACCCCTCGCTGGCAACTGGCGAGATCGAACCTCACCAGGGGTAGGCAAGGCCAACCTCGCCGACCCCCGCCTCTAGCAAGTCGTCGGACCGGCGACCGGCCATAGGTTGAAGATAAAGAAGATGAAGGAAAAAAAAAAGAAAAAGAAAGGAAAAAGAAAAGAAAAGAAAAGAAAAAATAAAAAATTTGAAAAAGTAAAAAATAATGTTAAAAAATTAGTTTAGGGTAAAATTGTCACAGATATACCGGTTTAGGGTTTTTGGTGGTCAAAAAAATAGTTCGGGGTAAAATTGTCACAGGTGTACCAGTTTGAGGTTTTTTGTGATCAAAAAAATAATTTGGGGTAAATTTGTCACAGGTGTACCAGTTTAAGGTTTTTTGTGATATTAACTCTTTTTTTTAAATGTTTTTTGCCTTCTGCTGGGTTTTGAATTCAGCTAAAAGAAAAGAAAAGTTGAAACCACTGTATCTATGCCACATGCTTTGATGCCATCTCGGTTTCATAGATATAAATCCAATGAGAATAATGGATATCCTTTTTCTCTATGCTGAATAAAATAATGACTAGTTGAATAAGGTGGTAACTTGCAAAGTTACGCACACGTGTTCTCGATTTTCATGTTACTCTTAGCTGTTTTCAAAGATGGGTGGCCGCAACTAGAAATGAATACCTCAGCTAAAAAGCGAATCCTTTTCATTTCCATGACGCTTTTTGGGATTTATTTATTAATAAACATTAGATATCATATATAAATACTGTTGCTAGCCATCATTCACACTAGCAAAGGAATTTATTTATTGGAACAATGCGTTATATAATATTTCATCGACATCACCAAATCTCATGCTTATATTGAATAAGATTCACCGGCCACGATGACGCAGTAGGTAACATATATTGATGGTGGGAACCATGTGCTATGTTATTCCATGTAATTTTTCTTCAAGAAAAGAGTAAGTCAACTCGGGACATATAGCAATTCGAACTTCGCGACATGCCACCATCAGCAAACCGGATCTCTAAAATAAAGCAAACTGAGTCTCTAAAATAAAACTATGTGCTATCAAAAAGCATTATAAACGAAACTAAGTGCCCAGAGACTACATAAGAAATTTACATGATTCAGACAATGGTCTTCGCCCAATTAGAGCAAAGAACTATGTCTCCAAGTAAAATGAAAGAGAGAAACCTATCAAAAACTGCAGTTATCGCATCTTAGAGTGATGTTAGCACGAACTTGTATTGAGCACTCCAACGACTACCTTCCTTTGTTTTCCTCTTCTTCCTTATTTTCTGAAGCAAATATTCACTAGGGCTTTTGACTGAGAGAGAGAGAGAGAGAGAGAGAGAGAGAGAGAGAGAGAGAGAGAGAGAGGGATCATGAGAACCCTGTTAATGCAAGTGAAGTCTAATTTCATAAAGTCTAAGCATGTATAACACGGTTCAAGTTCATCGAGTACGGATTGAGGTCTGAGTATGGGCTAATACAAGTTAAAATAGCTTAGTATGTAAACATTACTTCAAAGTAGACAATTTATAGTAATATTAGGGGGCACATTTCGGTTCCATATGTATGACACCTCAGTTTTTTTTTTTTTGGGCTGTAAAAAAAAATCTGTTAAGTGATAAATCTGTTAAATGGTGTTCACATTGACATAAACACCTAAGGTGTTTATGTCAATGTGAACACCATTTAACAGATTTATCACTTAAGCTCCTGATTTTCCATTAAAAAAATGAATCAATGGTAGAAGATATGCAATTTTGCACTTTGGAGATGTTGAGACCAAATTGAAGAAAAGTGGGCTGAATGATGTTTGAGACCAAATTTAAGCACGTGCAAGAGGATACATTGTGATCATATAGGTCGAATTGGTGAAGTTCGTGGTGCTTAGTGTGCATTAAATCTATATATTTTAACCAAAAGGAAATGTCCCTTTTTTGAATCTCCATTTCAATTTATTCTTCTCATCAAGATTAAGGAACTACCTAATGTTTGAATCATTGCCATGTTTGCTTACTTGATTTAATTTAGATTTTTTATTTTGATATCTTTCATCATTTTGTTGATTCAAAATTTCTGATGTCTAAATATGGTCAAAGATAATCTATAAAATAATCATAAATTCAAACATAAAATAAA